AGTTATGTATAATATATTACATTTCTGACTGTATATCCCTGTAATTATTACACACTGTAGCTTTAAAGAACATTGTAGTTTTATGCAATATTTCATTTAACGCAGTTGACTTTTCTTTGTTGCACTGTTGAAAAATATGCAGGTCACGAAAATATTTTGGGGCATCCAAAACTACAAGTCTAAGAACCACTGGTCTAAACACAATGGCTGTAACTAAGGGTGTGCAAACTAATCGTCATGACGATGCATCGCGATTCTAAGTTTTGTGATCTACTGCATTGATTCTTGAAGGCAAGAATCAATTATTAAAAGAAAAAAAAATGAAAAAATAAAATACATGAATGGTTGGTGCACATCAGCCAAATCAAGTGGAATACAACTTCCAGTCCAGCAGATGTCGCTGCGGATGTGTTGACGCCCGCTGCCTTGTGTCACTAGCATGTCCGGCCGTGGGATACTGCGACGAGTCATATGAAATAAAACATGGAGGACACAACGAAAATTTGCCCGGCTCCATCACATTTCAAGTCAGATGCTGGGATGCATTTTGGCCTTATAAACAAAGAAGGTAACGAAATTGATATGACGCACGTAATTTGCAAAAGGGGAAATGTCATACATTTGAATGTTTTCATTTCATTGGTTTAAATGACCACTGAGGCCATGTAAATGGCACTGATTATCCTTATTTTGTTATTTTAAGTTTGATGCATCCTAAGATCTTTTTGTCAGTGTGTCCACTCCAGTAATAGTAATATTTGTGTCCAGTTTTTCCTTTCATGGCAACACCTCCAAAAGTCGTTTCAATTATTACAGCTATGAATGAATCCAGTTGCTTTCAGTTATGTCAGCCAGCCACTGGTAAGGGCTGTATCTTTTTCTTACAGTGTTCGGTGAAAATATCGCAATGCATCGCAATATTTCAAGTATCGTGATGCATCGTGATAGAATCTCATCATGGCATGTGAATCGGGATTCGAATCGAATCATGACTTCTTTGCCAATACCCACCCCTAGCTGTAACTATACTAATCATACGGGAAGTTCTGAGGTCATCTTGGAATTAATTCAGGGTTTAATTATTAGGGTCATATAAGATGAAACAACAGCATTAAATACATCAGATGTTTTACAGTGTTTAGTTGTTAAGCACTTTGCTGTGGTCTATAAGAGATAACCTCTGCAGAAAGCATCACAGCTGCTGGTTGTAATATGACTGAAACAGAGGGGAAAGAATAACTGAGTTACAGTTGTGCTTATTTAATATTCATCTATAAAAATAAAGGAATACTGTGAAGAAGAGGGATGCAGTTAGAGAAATGTTTCTGTCCCCTGCGTCCTCTATTAGCACTCAGTAAGAACCGTGTGTGTAAATGTGGAGTTCGTACCTTGAGCATGCAGATCTTTCTCATGGAAAATTTCATTACAATGAAAAATGAACACTTGGCATATTACAGCATAGCTGCTTCAGTTATTGCAGCTCAAACTGCCAAAGACAATATTTGACTTCCAAAAAAGAAAAAAAGGCAAAACCAAATTTTATTAAGCAAACCCAATTTTAGGTTAATTTAAAGGAAATAAAGCATGGCCTCACCTACTGAGGGCTGAGAGCGGCTTAAAAGTAATAAACACTGCAGAGAGGAAAATGAGGGACCGCTGAGAGATGCTTGCAGAGGTATGTGAATCACTGTGAGATGAAGACATATTTACAGAAACTTCAGCAGGACCTCATCCACTGTGGAGTGGAGGCTAAAGAGACAGACGAACCATTCCAGTTCAGATTGAGTTTTTAAAGAATAATAAGGGTTGGATGGATGGGCATAGCAAGTGCTGAAAGAAGCATAAATGATTTTGATTATTGCTCATAGAACACCACCGTAAAATTCTGCCTTTCTCTCACAGATTGAAAGATCCCTCCATCTAAAGTAAAATAAGGTTTCAGAGATTTTTTTGTGTGTTTTCCACACCTTAATAAAACATAACCTGCAGTTTTACTGAGACATGCACAAGCCAGTCTGTGTGTCGCTCGCATCTTTTGGTGAATCACCTCACGTCTCACACAAGATGGTGTAAAGGTTCACACTTAAATGTTTCGGACCCTCTTTCAAATTTAATACCAGGCTAAATTTAATAAATAAGACATTTTTTAAATTTCTGTCATGAAAGAAAACGGAAAAAAGTGAAATTGGTGTAGCAATAACGGCCTGCATTTGAGGGTTCTGAGGGGAAAGCATGGACAAATAAAAGAAATAGTTAATATAAACTCAAAGGCCTATTCACATTAGCCAAAAAATACTTTTATTCTGAGGACTGAGGAGATCAGAATGAAACTGATCCCCAGTCACACCTTGCTGATTTAGCCAGTGTATGCCTGATGTCTCAGAATCTTCTAAAATGCTGGCATACGCTGAACTTTATGCATTTCTTCGATTTTGGGCGTATACACAGAGTATTCATAACGAGTCCAGAAGTTATGTCCAATGACAGCCTGACTTATGCATAACGAACGGCAGCAAAATGCCCATGAAATGTCACAACCCTGTGTCCTTAGGGGGGTGCCCGCAGGTGCCCGGCTTGCATAAAAAGCACAAGAAAAAGATCTCTCTGAACTTTGTAGTTGTGGTATTAATAACTAGCTGCCGTTTACAGCCTGCTATATAAAAAAAATTGATTCATACTCACCATATGATGGGAATGATTTCTGCGTAACTTATGAGTAACTTGTACTTAACATGTTTCAACGATCAGGTAACTTACCTGTAAGTTATGGCGCACGAATGAGCATACGCTGGCATACTTTGGGACGTACTTCGCCATGTATAAGCATGCTCATAACATACATAAAATGTACCCATAACTTATCCAATAAACAGCAGCGCTTTTACAAAATTTTTCTTATGTTGACATAGGCTGGCTAAATCATCAAGGTATGATAGCGCCGTACTAGTACGGTAAAAGAAAATCCCATCTACAATCAAAAAACAGGATGATGGTAGCATCATGGTCTGGGACCACTCTGCTGCGTTCAGGAGCAGAAAGGCTATTTCAATGGAAAGTGGGATTCGAATCTGAATCAGAATGTAAAATCCTGAAGAGGGCGGTCCTCCAATCGGTTCATGAGCTTAAGCTCACATAAAAAATAAAAACCTCAAAAGAGATCAATTCAGGTAATTATAACATTTTGAGACCAAACTCCTTCACACCCTCAACAGGTTATCTCAAACACTGATGGAACAACTAGTTACTAGGTTTGAAATGTAAAGGAATAGATGACAATGTTTTATTTGTGGGTGGATCATCTAAATAAGTGGTCCTCCTAGTTGTTAATCATTCTGGTGATATGTTTATGTAAGGCCGTCCTACGTGCTTGTCCCGTTAGCTATCTTTTCCTACGCATGCACACTTTTAGGCATATATCTATATCTGTGGTGAGCTATGGTTTCAGACAGTCATTGAAGCTCACCTTTCTCACCTTGGTTCTTTAAAAAATGGCAGAGGGATCGTAACAAAAAAAGTGTCTACGGAGTGTAATTGAAGAAACAAAAAGCCTCTGTAGAGGCAGATACATCCCAGAATGCTTTGCAAGATTTCTCCTCGCAAAGCATTATGGGATGTGCCGTCACAGCGGCCTGCTGTCACCATAGCTACCCAACAACGGCGACTAATAACAACTGAGGCGCAGGCACCATACAGTGGAGGATGAGTTACGTGACTAATGGTGAGCAAAAAGCAGTGTTCACCTTTCTAAACGGTCAGTTAAATGAATTTGCTATAAAGTCCATTATATAGTCCCCACTCTATATAGTGATTGAAGAATTTAGTGGTTAGGGTGGACGTTCGGACACAGCTTGTATGAGCTATGAGAACAGCAACTTTTAAGCAGAGCATGCACAAGGAGAAATGGGCTTGTGCATGCTCTCGCACGCGTTTAATAGGTGTTTGCTCTCTGGAGCAATACATGGTTGTGCATGTGCTTTTTTTTAGTGGGCGGGTCTTTTAAAAACTTCAAGAAAATCCTCCACAATACCTTTAAGATAAGCATTTTTCCCCTTATTAATAAACATAACAAAATAATTGCTAAAAAGCTGCATTTTTGTATTAACTTTGTTTATTTTTTACTCAAATTTTTATCAGAGACATTCAAATGTAAAAAAAAAAAAAAAGAAACAAGAGGAACCCTCACACAGATGGACCGAGCCCTAATGCCCCAAGAGAAACCAACACACATAAAAATAACAGGAGGAAAAGAGGAAAGTGTGGTTGTCTTTGTAAACATGAGAGATGAAAGGAACACAGGAGCGGGGCTGGGGACAGATGAAGGGTTTTCATGTTGAGAGCAGAAACCTTTGAATCAAGTGAGAAATGAGACAAAATGAAACGCCACAGAATCGATGTCACCGTGCTTTTTAAAATCAAGCTGGCAGGATGAGCGACTCCCAAAAGGTTCTGTTAAAAATATGGAGAAGAAACATGTGGAGAGGCAGATTAGGACAGGGCGAGGACAGAGCCCAGTCGTTACCGGGTGTGTGATGCGTGCGGGTTCTTGTCGCATATGTCTTTCACCAGGAATAAAATCCAATTAAACGACGCCAAGACTGATTTACTGCCTCCTTTGTCAGCCCTACTTTACAAAACCATGATAATGTCGTCTCAGCCTCGGCACTTTTATCCACATTTTAAGCTGTCAAATCCAAAGTAAATTTTTTTATATAAATACTGGCTTTTTAAATTTATTGCAGGTTGACAGGCGGTTCTGGAAAAGTTTGACAGTGACGTCTAATTACTGACAAACCCAGACAGGCATTTTAAATTTCAAAGTTTTATGTTTTTAAGATGTATTTTTTAATGGCTGATCTCAGTGGGTATTTCAAACTATCATTAGCAGCAGAGTGAATAAAGCTTTATAAAGAAATGTAAATTAGAGGTGCACTAAGAAAAAAAAATGGCTGATTTTACAGGAGAGTGGACCTTTACTGATCTAAAGCAAGTTAATGAGCATTAACATGGCGCTGTCAAGCATCCCACACAACACCCTTCAGTGTGGAAGAGATGGCTGTAAAAGGAACACTTTTTCAGTATCAGCAATATTTTATATAATCCAGTAAAGGGATACGTTTTATTTTCAGTTTTTAATCATTTGATTCATTAAACGTAAGGATGTTTGCACAGTTCACGGCTTATCCTGGATAAGGTAATACATAGTGAAATTTATTCCCTTATTCTTGCAAACAAAGAACACATTTTGTAAATTGACATTTGAAAAATATCATTTTCTAAATAAAAAAAAAAATTTATATATATATATATATATATATATATTTATATATATATATCGCTCCAGAAATTAAACTTTGAAAGTAGTTTGGATCAAAAAGGTTTTTACAGCAACTTTGCTGTTTTCTCAGTTTTTGTTTGATCAAATTTCTTTTATAAAGTTTTACATAATCAAATTGTATTTTTTCAAACTTTTTTTTTCCTTTTATAAAATTTCTTTCTTTTTTCAGATTTGTTTTACAAATTGCTTTCATTTCAAATTACTTTCTCTCTTCTAGGGGCGGGCTTTCCTCTGGAGTAAGAAGCGAAAACATATTTCTATTGGTCTGCTGGACATTTGCAACAACATTTTTATTGGTTCATGTGCTAATTCAGAGCGAGTGTTTGCATTGGACCTGCAGTGAAAAGGAAATGATTTGTAAAAAGCAAAGAAAGTTGTAAAAGTAACTTGCAAAACTCAATCTAAAAAAAAACTGAAAGTTGAAAAAAAAAATGAAAATATTTTCTGTAAATTGGAATTTTGAAAAATGATATCTGTAAAAAAAATCCTACAAAATTGTAATTACTCTGAAAATGCTAACTTTTTTTTTATTTATTGATTATCGATTTGTCAATTTACAGAATTTCATGCTATTTCAAATTGCCAATTACTCAGACTCACCTTTGTAGTAGAAAAGGCAGAAATCCGCCAAGACAAACCACTTCCTCTTCCATAGACGCATCCCAGAGCTGTCCTGCACAGAAGAAAACATGAAAAACCATAAAAAAAATTTCCCTGCAAAGTTAACATACTACATGAAGAGAGAAAGAGGATGGGGCAATCAGTAGGCAATGAAGTAGGAAGAAAATTTAAAAAGCTGAGAAAATCTAAGAAATCTGGTGGATACATGAAAAACACATTTTGGTTAAGAGAGAAAACATGTGATGAACACAACCAGGCACTGTTTCCTGCCTCACTGCTCTCCTGTTTGTTTCATCCTTTATGTTTGCTCGCTAAAAACGGAGCCATTGAAAGAAGAGAAGAAAAAAAAACTAAACCTCACACAAAGGTATAAATATCCTTCCCATTTGCTGAGAATGTATAAAGTATGTGTTATCTGCTGTGTTTGCAGATGGAGAGGATAAAGCGCGCTCCGTCCAACTGGCTGCCGTAATGGTGACCTGTGTGTGAGCCAGTTCATGTCTCTACAGCGTTCCTCCTTTCAGCAGGTGAAAGGCGTTGTAATTATGATATAGGTGAAATGTGCCAGTGTGTGTTGCCATCTTATCGTCTAGCGCCAACATCGTCCACTGTTTGTCATGTAGTGAGGCCAGGCTTCATCCAGTGGGACGATGCCAACCAGAGTTATTTTAAGTAGATCTTTAAATAAGCAAATACTCTCCAGTAATAGCCCGTCTGTGATCAACACCAGGTGCTCTACATTTCCAAAGTGTAGTGAATAAATCAGAGGAATAAAACTGGGCCATAGAGGGAGCAGAAACTTTCCTGACCCAACTATAGAGTATATATGTGAAGGAGATACCTGCAAAGGCAGGTCTAATATATTAATGTAAAACACATCAGCTTCTCTACTGGTTTATCATGGTTTATGTTTCTATTTACACTTATGAAAATGCAATAGGATCGGTTAGTTAATTTTATTTCCCCCTGAAATGATCTGAAGTTGTTGAAAACAGAGCTCAGCTTTGGAGAACTTCATCTGGTGATTATTATGAGGAGGCTTAAATGAACAGACTGTTACGAGCCATTAATAGGCCACGGTCACTGAACATCCCAGGCTCTTAAATCAAACACACCCCTTTTCAGAGGGGAACATGCATCTCGCTGTCAGATTACAGTCTCTGGCTTTAATAGCCGATTACTTTTATGATTAATTACAGGAATTTTGGGTCAAGTCTTTATAGCTGGAGTCTCCAGACTTAATGGGGAGTTAAGGGGTTAGCAGCATGGCATCAAAGTCACAGGTTTGCGTCCCTCCAGTCAGGTTGGTTGGTGTTTTCAGCTAAACACCAACCTGACTGCTTTTGAAAAATTTAGGTTTGTTTTGACAAATTTATCAGACTTCTGTTTCAATAGTGATTATTGTAGTTGTGATTGTAGCTGCTTTTTTTCTTTATGAGAGGACATGAGAGGACAGGAGAGAGAAAGAAGATAGAAGACAGATAAAAAGAAGACTACATGAGAGTGGAGGAAAACTGGAATACTGAGGGGAAGAACAGCTGAAGAGAAGGAAGAAAAATCTGAAGTAGTAAAGCAAAAGCGAGAATTCAGAAGCGAGTGGAGGCCTAGTTGTTAGGGCATAGAGCTTGGAATCCTGAGGTTCTGAGTTCCAGCCCCACTCCCACAGGCTGCCACTCTGGGTCTCTGAGCAAAGACCCTTAACCCCACACTGCTCCCCGGGTGCCACACAATGGCAGCCCACTGCTACCCAAGTGGATGGGTTAAAGGCAGAAAGTTCATTTTTGTTCCTCTGTACTTGTGACAGTGTGATAACAATAAAACACTGGGAAAGAAAAAAGGGGAAGAAGAAAAAACATTTTCTTTTGGGTTTTTTTTTTCTTTTCCTCATGTCACTGTCCTCTTAAGCGGAGGCAGAGCTCTTTAGGCCCTAAAAATCAGAAAGCCCTGATAGCCACCCTTCACTCTCACTCCCAACCCAGAGACATAGTTCTACTTTTCTATGAAAAATATGATTTATTCATTTTATTAATTTTAAGAAAATACTACCAGTGTTAAAAGACATATTCCTGGCTTTTACACTTTTATTGCCGCAAAATATTAATACACTTGTAAAAATAAAAGCATTAATGTCCCCGTTTCCTAATTTGATCTTGATGAAATTTACTTTTTTTCATCTACGAGTTGTAAATGTTTTTTAGATTTGATTTAGGAAAACTTTTTACATTACTGTAAGTTATAGTCGACAAAAAACAAACACTAAAAACAGCAGTAGCAACTGTAAGTTATGTGCATCACCATTACTAACAACAATTTTCTTTTTTTTTTTTTAATTAGATATCTTTAGACAGGTTTTATTCAGTCAAAAAAAGAAAATTTTAGTTTATATTGAAACTTAGATGCCAGAAGGGTTTTTTTTTGTTGTAGATTTTTTAAGATCAATGCTATTGTTTTTTTTCCCCCCTCTGACACGTTGCGCAGCTACAGTGAATGAAAAATATTATGACTCCAACTAACAAAACTACATTCATGCTACCTATAAAAGCTAGCCTGATTATCGCAAACCTTTTATGAAATCAGCCAAAAGGACACAGATGTATTAAATTCTCATTTTGTGTTATTTAAAAACATATACACATAAACACCTCTGCACACACATTTAGAATGTTTTATTTATGCAGATTCAATACCATTCAGCCCCATAATATATCACAAGCATTACTCCTTGCCCCTCCTCAGCTCTTCTGCTTTTTATTCTCCTGTATATTCTCATGTCAACTTTTTGTCACCTTGAGGGTGGAACCGACCAAATAATGTAAACTTCTTGTTTGGCTACTTTTAAGTATATCCTGACCCTACAGTACTACGTTATTCCTGGTTGCTAGTAATGTTAGCAAAGCATTTTCAGGTTAAAAGCTATTCTCTTAAACATTTCAAAATTGGTTAGGTGAAGTTATTGTTATATTACTGAGTTTATTCAGTCATGAAAGCGTTTTGACAGCCTTAGCAATATGCACTCAAAAGATTACTGTTAAATTTGGATATTCGTGTAAGCTAAGCTAACATTAGCTACACTGTTTATATAGAGAAAAGTCAGGCTTGAATGAACTCTGGTTTATAGTTATATGCAAATATTTGCATTTCTAATCAGTTTGCAGCGACTGTTAGTAAGAGAGATGCTGTAAAGATAAAGAAAACAGACATATTTCTTGAAAAGCCCGGGGAAAAGTCGCTATATTGAGCTTCTCGTCAGACCTCTCTAGTGCCTTTATTTCAGTAAAGTGCCTAATGCCAAATCTAGCACCTTTTTTCTGTATTAATGCAGACTTTGGCCACCACACAAAAGCACTGAACTCTGTCCTCCTGAGCGAGTGGATCTGTAATGCTATGTACGTACATGCACCAGAAGCAGCAAAAACGCATGTGCTGCCTCATTTTTGATGCCTGTACAAATTTAGTTCTGACACGCAGCTGAAGCATCTTTTCTGCTCTAGCTGCACGGTTAAAAAGTTGGTCTGATGCGTGTTGGGTGGAACTACCCTATCCTTTTTTTTGCTTGTAACAATAGCAGCTATATTTACCGTGGGTAAAAAGTGGTTTTAATATTCTTTTAAGTGAGAAAGTCCACCTGAAAACTTCTTCTGTGCAGTCAGTTCATCAAGATTACGATCCTTCCCTTCAAGTATTATTTTGCTGTCAGAGCCGCTCAGACCCCCATACACAGGCGGTGTGCTGTCCCTAGGAATTCCCTTCAACAGCAGCCTCTGCCCTGGTCGCCTCTTTGCAGTTTTCCACTACTGTTCGTGGCAGCTGGTAGGTGTTTTTCATGTACGTAATGCAAACTGCAGGCACCAGAATAATAAAAGCAAACATATATTTTGCCAGCAGGTTTTGACATATTAAGTTAATTTAAGCGTTAAAAAACAATCTCAGGGGAGTGATCATAGCGATTTACATCAGCAGTGCTGTGTCTGCCTCCCTGCAAGCTTCCAGATCAGCTTCTCTGATTGGTTGATGTGGTGCGTTGTGCAGCAAAAGTTCAATTTTTCCAACTCCAGCAACTCTGCTGCTCAGATGCGCTGCTCCTGCTGCTCAAAACGTGCTGCACGGATTTTCTGCGCATTGATGCATGTCAACCATTGATTTTGCATGTAAACTAGCTGCTTCTGCTGCTCCTGCTGCGTGCGGTCTGAACGTAGCATAAGCCTGCCTCCTGCTCTCTCTCCCTCACTGTCCCCTGTCAGCATGCAGAGGAGGTTGCCTGCACCCTGCAGCAGAGAAAGAACCTTTACACTTGGAATCCAGATAGCAAATTAAATGCACATGTGCATAACTCTTGCTAATCCTGCTTTAGGTTGCAAAGTGGTTCATGAAAATAATTCTTAAACTGACACAGTTGTCTCCCATAAAATAAAATCACTAGCTTTTCACTCTACCACCTCATTCTTGTGTTTCAGCGCTGTTTTCTTCTATTTTGCATGGTTCTTTTGGCACTTGGCAAACAGCAAACCACTGGTATGGAGCATGGAAGTAAATGTCTGATAATATGCATTTTGTTTACTTATTTCTATGAGCAATTACTTTTAAATTCCCTCTTTTCTCTTTCAGCTATGCCAATATCTCCCTACATTGCTTTGACAGAAAGACAAAGGAAAAAAGCAATTGGAGAGATTTTCCGCCCGATGCATGCAAATTATGTGATGGGTCATTTAGCACCTTCTGGCACAGCCAATAGCAAGTTTTCTGCTAAGCAGTTTGCAACACTGGATCCACCCTCAACATGACAAAACATTAATATGAGTCACAGAAACAGGTCCAAAGACGAACAGAAAAGAATCTACAGGAGCATAAAATGCAATAGATCAAAGGGGCACGGGCTCATGGTTGTGGTATGTTTGGGGCCTTGTGGTATTGAATTTGCATGCATTTAAAATGTGTAGAATGTGTGTGGAGAGTAGTTGTTTTTTAATGAATTTAATTTAATTAGTTCCTATCAGTAGTTATGATGCATGTGAAATTTTGGCAGAATTCTGACCTCATAAGCTTTGCCCTCTGAGCAGTAATCCCCCCGCCCGGTGAAAACGAGCGGATGGGGCATGTCTTCTTGGAGCAGCTCCTAACAGGAAGAGCCTACTTTCTTTGTGCCAGCCTCAAATGTCTCAAATGTTGTTCAGCTTTTAGAAGTGACGTAAAATAGGTGAGAAGTGTCTTCACTGTGAAGGCAAGTTTTCTCTTTGGGATTGGAAGAAAACAACTGTATATATTACAAAAGGCATTATTTAGTCATTTCTATTTACCTAAATTAGACTTTTAAAGGCTTTAAAAATCCTGATGTAGGATCTTTAACTAATTTTCCAGACTATTAGAGATTATAATGCGTAGCAAAGGCACAAGTTTCCTCCCTGAGTCTTTAAGCAGTTGATCCTTTTATACATCATCTGCTATTTCTAGTGCTGATTATATAAACAATAATAAAAAAAAATACAAGAACTTTAAAAGAGTCTGTTGGGTTATAAATCATATACATGGTCTGAAGCCTCACATACTTAAAAAAAACAAAAAGTATCTAATTATCATAAAACTAACATTCATTATTATTATTATCAATCTTTTGCAAACTATTAAAAAAAACCCTGAAGATGTGGAGAAAAAGCACTAAATGATTCCTGTAGAAGAGTCCTCTTTACCTGTTTGTAGAGCCATCCTCGGACCACCACTGGGACGTTAGGGTTCCGCTTGATAGATTGTTCTCTTTTGCCGAAGCTGTGGATTCTGCCAATGGAACGAGAGGCCTGCAATACATAAAACCAAAAAAACTAAGAACAAAACGATCATTCCATAAAACTTCAGTGTAACATAAAATTAGGTCTCTAACAATATAAGAGAAAATCTGATAATGTGACTTATGCTCTGCACTGTAAATAAAAATGTCATTACAGACCAGGAGGACAACACAGCATTTGGCATAGAAACTGTGGAGAGTTTCAAATACCTGGGTGTCCATGTCAATAATAAGCTGAACTGGACTCAACCTCCCGAGGAGGTTGAGATTATTATAATCAATAAAGGCAATCAACAAATCAATCAATCAATCCATCCATCAATCCTTAGCAAGGTAATAAGTATTGTAATCAACAATACAATTTGAGGACAAATAAAAAACGCTAGCTGCTAACTTTTCAACATCTAATTCTACCAAAAAAAATATCCAAGAAGTTAAAGGAATTTATTATTAACACAATTTTTTTTCACTCATACGACAATACAAAAGTAATCGGGTGTATCTTAGCTGAAAATACTAAACTTCCACATCTGTGTTTAAAAATGTTACGATCAAAAGCAAAGAGGCTGATTTTTTTTTTTTTCTGAGTGGAACATAATTGGTAATGGGCATCTAGGACCTAATCAGAGCGTTCAGTCTAACTTACAGCTGCACTGCACAGGCCTTCATCCACACCATCATTATCTTTTTCTTTTTTTTTTGACACCTCTCCTTTTCTGCCCCAATTGTTACCTAATTATAGTCATTACTTGACGACAGACAATTATCCACCTGATTTCTGTGACATTGACAGCCACTATTTCTATAACACTTGTCAAACAGAGACAAACCCCTCTCTCTATGTTGGCTGAGCGAGAAGAAGACTGTAGGCCTGGGAGGAAATGGTCAGTGGTTTGGATAAAACCTATATGGAGAATATTTTTACAGTTAACATAATAGAAAATTAGTCTGTGGGATTATTCTTATATTAGATATCAGGGACCGTGTGATGATGTATTGGCCCAAGACCTCTCCTCTAGGCCTTTCTAACATCTCTGTGTTTTAGAGATTTTAAATGGAACCTGATGAAAGTGGGTGCAGCAGGCCAGCACCAACAGAACAGCTTCAGATCCATCTTAAAAAAGCACCACTTGCTCTCTCTACCTCTCTCTCTCTCTCCCCACCGCTCTTCTCCAGCTATTTATGATTTTTGTTAAATAAGTTTCACTTTGAAGTTATCCCACTGCTACCCATTATTTTTTATGGGTATAGAGCCAGGCCTGATATATTGGGGGTTCATCCGGGATTTAAACTCGAGACCTCTCGCAACCAATCATATCCATTATCACAAAATCTGTAGTGCCACTCAAAAGTAATTAAATCCTTTTTCTTTTTTCCCATTGAAATGCTAAAGTCTGAACATTTGTTCAAAAGTCTTTATGAAAAAAATCCAGTGAAAGTCGTTTGTCTGGTTTTAATTCCCTTCTTTAAATTTTTCTCATTTCTTTAATGTGGTTTACAGCAACAACATCCATGTTTTTGCTTTTTTATAGCAGTCCTTCAAAAATATCTTTTTTATGGCACTTTTTATTACCTCAGACTTTTGTTGAAAACTCGACAGCTGTAGGAAAAACTGTCCAATGTTAAACTAGTTATTTCTTTTTTTTTCTTTTTAAAGAGGAAAAAAAAAAAGATTTAAAAGAAAATATGGACCAAACAAAAATCAGAAAAGTATCAGATGGCACATATCTAGGGGTCTTTTTGATTTTGGACTCTAAACCTATGTTTGATTAAAAAAAACATTCTAATATAAAATAAAATGTGGGAGTCAGCCAACATGAAAGAGAGTGAGTGAATAGCTCAGAATATTTTTAGTGGTGAAAGGTTCTAGTGATAAAAATGCTTCTACCCTTAAGCATTAGGGGACCTACTACTGTAATGAAGCAAACATGCTATTTATATGAAAGATAGCTGACAAAGAGCAAACATTCCTCTCTAAAAATAGCATGTGTCCAGTGAAATCCTAACAAATATAGTTGTCCTTGTAGTGGCGGTTGTAAGCTTAGCAGCTGTGGTAGAAATCTGAGACTAAACTTTGTGCAAATTTACATCTTATTAGCAACAGTCTAGACATTGTGAGTTTAAACAAAGTCATGTCCTATGACACAGTTAACAGGCAGGACAACACAGAGGCAAAAGAAGTCAGTATTTGTCTAGATTCTTGATGCCACAACAAGCTTTATAACAACTAAAATACAAATTCTGAAAACAATCAATATATCAAGTACGCTGTTGCATTTAAACCAGTAAATCAGTGTGATAGGACAGATGGTAGCACAGTCCAAATGCAGGAAAGGAAATAATATGCAGGAACCAGGAAGCAGTTATAAATGAAAACAAAAAGAAAACCAATTACATCATTGATCAAAACTTGAGTTTCTGGAAAAGTTAACATTAAAACAGGTTTGCTTGGATTTGAACTCAAGTTAATAACATCAACTCAAGTCTTTAACTTGTTGAGGTCTCCTGACGACTGATTATACTAACCTTACGAAGATAGAAAAAAAAAATTCTCCCCATAACTCAACACTCCCCTGCGACAACTTCAGATTCCCATTGTTAATCTCAAAATACTGACAATTATTTTCACTCTAATTTAAAAAAAACTTGAGGATATTGAAAAAGAAGCAGCTAATGGTAATTTTCTGTACAGTGAGGAGTAAATGATTTCAGTTGAGATACTAGTTTCATAAGTTTTAAGTTAATAAGAAAATTATTTTACAAATAGGTTTCCTCTGCCTCTGATTGTTATCTTTCAATTACATTATTTGTTTGTTTTAATGATAGACTTTTAAAATACCAGAATTTATACATAATTTCATATTTTTTCTCTTTATTACATTTTTATTTTAATGTCAGATGTTATTATGAGTTATTGAGTACCTGAGCAGCCTTTTTACCAAATTATTTTTTTTTATTTGCTTGAAAAGCTTCTTTTTAAATATGATTATGTGGTGTTACTCATCCTCAAGTTCAATTTGGACATGACGGCACTGAAATAAACATACTTCTGGACGGACCATGAAAAGCACATAACATCTCAAAGTTTTCTTGACTGACTACATTCCCCAGCAACCCAAGACTTAAATCTCAGAGGTGCAAACATCAACGCTAGACCTGTGTGTTTGTTTGATTTAAGTGTTGATGTCTGCCATTCCACAGCTACAGAGAAGCAAATAAACTCACTAATTAGAAAAGAGGCTGCTCGGCCAAGCGAGAGGACAATACACAGAGAGACTACAGTATAGTCACACTGTAAATATGCAGCATGTGTGTGTATACATGTTGCACGTCGGCTGTTATCTGTGTGTGCGATGCGGTGGTCTATTTTTAGGCTGAGGGTAATTTTGTGGAACAGGCAGTGGTCCCTGCAGCACAGCAGCACTCTGTCTTTTAGGTGATTGACTCAGAGTCTAAACAGCAACTTATAATGTGAGTGGCACACAATTAGGAAGGCTGAAAGCCGAGAGGGACCGTCCCGAGACAACAATGCTGCCACTTTAATTCCCTTGGGTTAAGTAATTAAAAAAGAGCAATGCTTTCTTGTCCCCTTTAGAACTCCTTTATGCACTTACAGGAGTAGACACCTAATCGTTGGTTCGATCTGTGAACTAATCAAGGAAGCAAGTGTGGCATCGTGGAGGGACTCTGTGTTCCTTCAACAGCTAAAACTACTGGCCAGCAGGTGCCTTTATCTGTAAAATCTCTGTAATTAAACATGCCTCATTGTTAAACTGATGCACAATAAACAGCCAAACTATAACTCCAGCTAGACTTCCATTCCTTTTTGGGTTAAATTAGAAAAACCCATTCAAAGTAGATAAACACCTACTTTTCCTTAATCTGATCTAGGGAGCATCATAACCATTCCCATAAAAAAAGGAAAATAAATTATGGAAAACCTGTGCATCTTTTTCATTAGACTGTTGTAGAACAGTCTTCAGTCAGAGACATCCCTAAGACCCCCGTAAGACAGACCACCAGAGAAGATCCTTCTTGTTTACAGCCATTCAGATACGTAGAAACCTTCATAATATGAGCTTCATCAACATTCAATTTCCCGTCAGGATCAAATTAAGCCGCTGTCATACCTTGACGATTTAGAGAGCGTTTGCCTGACTGTATGAAAAATCTAGCAAAAACGCTGTCATATTTTGGATAAGATATGGGTACGTCAGCCAGCGTATGCCATGCGTGGGGCATAAGTTACAGGAAAGTCATCTGATCGTTGACATACATTAAGTGTAAATTACTTATAAGTCGTGGCATCTAGCTTATCCAAATCCTATGACTAACATATGCATAAATTATGTGTAACTTATCAAGAACTTATCTCCAATAACATATAAAGGTATTGGACGTTTTCCAGACGACCGCTGAACATGTTTCTAACTTACAGCTACTGTATAATGGCGTACTGGCAGTGTTTTGGTATAAGGGGGGGTTCAGAGGAGGAAACCATCAGTGCTCCTCCAGACTTCGTCGCCATCATAGGGTGAGCGAAAAGTTTAAAGGATCCTCCTTGCGTTCACGCCCATGCCAACAATCTTCCTAGCAGACATGATGCTGAATCTGCTGCCACAGCAAACCTTTTTTTCTTTTTCCTTTTTTTTTTATTTCTTCTTCTTTTTTTTGGCGGGTGGTAAACAGCATTTCAGGCATTGCTGCCCCCCTCAGGACACTGGCTTGTGCATCATTTCATGGGCATTACGCTGCAATGCACTAAGCATAAATTAGGCTGTCGTTAGACATAAGTTCTGGACTCGTTATGATTACACTATGTATACGCCCAAAATTGAAAAAATACATAAAAAGTTCAGGCTGCTCAGTGGGGCAGTGGGTAGCACTGTAGCAAGAAGGTTCTGGGTTCGATTCCTGGCCTGGGGTCTTTCTGCATGGAGTTTGCATGTTCTCCCTGAGCATGCGTGGGTTCTCTCCAGGTACTCCAGTTTCCTCCCACAGTCCAAAAAC